CCTACGTGAGATCGGTGCCGACCCAGACTCGACGCACCTGTGCTGCAAGGGTACGTGTGGCCAACACCTCGACTAGGCTTCTAGCTAACGCAGCGCACAACAGGCACCTCGCCGCATCCGCATGGCCATGTGCATACGCACAAGGGATCGACAACTTCTCTGGGATCTAAAGCCAGATTGTCCCCGTCGCGCACGGTGAGCGAGATCTCAGATCACCGCAAGATACCACCACTCAATGCCGGATCTCATGTGCAGGGCGACAAGGCGCGCGCTTCCCCCGAGGGCGCAAGCGGCCACCACCACCACCACTCCCAGACGCAGGGTCGCACCGCTATGGCCCGGGGCCGCACCATGTCCACGCCCAGGGTCGCGGCCCCGATGAGCCCCGCGATCCCCATCGCTCCAAAGAGCCCCGCGCTGTCGTACATCGACCTCGAGACGCACGACGCGACGCCGTCGTTCAATTACCTCTCCTCTGCCCGCGATGCACTCCTCACCGTCGTCGGCAGCACGCCCGTCGATGAGCGCCCCTCCCGCTCGCCCACCCGGAGCTTCTTCCGCGACCGCGCTCCCGTCTCGCGTTCGCCCGACTCCGACTCGAGCCCGCCGCCCTTCCCCTCAGCCTCGGAGCGCTCCCGCTCCTACACCCGCAACCGCTCGGCGAGTCGCACGCCGTCGATCGACTCGCTCGACACGGCTTCATCCTCGGAGGCGCCCGCGACCCCGCGCATGCACAACAACGTGCTCGCACACGAGCTGCCGTCGCTCGACGACCTCGAGCGGGCCTCGCGCTTCCGCGTCCAGAGCACGTGTACGCACTGCCATCGCGCAGGCTCGAACTTCCCGAGCTGCGCGAAGTGCGGCGAGCGCTGGTGCTCGCGCGAGTGCCGACGTGCATCGACGAGCGTGCATGCGCACGCTTGTCACGGACGCGCTGCAAGCGCGTAAACCGCCCCGAGGAGAGGTACCAGGGCGGCGGCGAAGGGGAGGGGCCCAGGTGCGCACTCAGACTGTGACATTAGAGTAGAGTTCCAGCATAGGGCCGGGGACAGTACATACAAGTGCGCGGGTTGTGCGGGCCTGGTGACAGGATCGCCGGGGCGCGTCGACTGGTGCTGAATATCATATGATCTGTATCGCTAGTGCCATTACTGCATATACACGTCGTTCTCATGCACCCCTGGGTTGCGGTGGCTGCTTCGTTCCCGTAAGACGGGCCCCCGCACCGCTGCTTCTCCCGGCACGCGATGGGTAACGATGAGACGCGGTGGGTTCGCGAGAGGGCTGCCGTATTTGGCTTTCTATAGATGAGCGGGTACAATAAGTCGAAGGGCGTCCAGTTGGGTAGAATCGCGGCCTACTAGAGACGGCTGACGGCCCCAGGTGCTCCCCGGGTAGTGTGTTTTCCTGCGTGTTCACTATCGCTCGGAGCGCTCTTGTTGGGAGGTTCTGCCAGTACTAGCTAGGTAATACATCCTGATTTTAGTCAATCCCCGAGATCTCCGTCTCCACGTAGTCTCTGGTCAGGAACCGTTAGAAAAGTCGTTCCATGTTCATGATTTCCAAGTGCTTTTGTATGCGTAACATGCATACATTTCCGGACACCGTACCGGGGGGAAGATATACGCAAGTTGTTTGAGGTTATATACTTGGCAGAGCCAGCTGCACGTACCAAAAGTTCTGGCTGCGAACTCGCAATCGATATAGTACAGTACTGGTCGCACCTTCGCAATATTTTGGTCCTGATGTGAAACACTAGACATGAGATGGTTTCCAGAAAGATCAGCTGTTCCAAAGATATTTCAGTGGATGTGTCTAGCGATGCAGAACCAGCTGAGTGATGGTGTTTATGCATGCCATTCTCATGCACGTCTGAGCTGAAGGGGTGGACTCATTCCCATGAGACGGGCATCCGCACCGCTGTTTCTCTCGGCATGGCACGGGATAACGATGGGACGCGGTGGGTTTGCGAGATGGCTGCCGTATTTTGTCTTCTGGCGATGGGCGGGTACAGTTGTAACAGTACTTACATCAATATCGAATGGCGTCCAGTTGGATAAAAGCGAGGCCTAGATGGTGGTCGATGTCAGCAGGTACTCCCCGGGTAGTGTCATGTCCTCGTTAAACCCAAGCAGACCGTCATACTATCATAGGCTTCAAACGGGTATTTTCATCGCGTAACAAGTCCGTCCTCCGCCGTCATCCTGGTGGTGTTCAGGCTCTTTGTATGTACTCCTATCGCCGTACTACTCACCGGTTACTTTGGGTACCCTCTTTCTTCGTTCCCATAAGACGGGCCCCCGAACGGCCCGGCCGTTCCTCTCGACGAGGGATGGGACAACGATGGGACGCGATGGGTTCGCCGCGAGATGGCTGCCGTATTCGTCTTCTGGCGATGAGCGCGGGTACCATACGTCGAAGGACGTCGAGTTGGGTAAAATCGCGACCTAGACTGCGGCAGAAGACGGCAGGTGCTCCCCGAGTAGCGTGATTTCCACCTCTCGCTCAAGCAGATCTCACCCGTTGAGGCAAAACACCCGTCTGGGAGAAGCTCCGAGTCTAGCGGAGAGACTCCGTGATGCATGCCTATTTGGCGGCGAGACGATTAGCAGAATCGGCGGATAGGAGCTGCCCAAGTTGTGTGGACGCACGCATTCGTTATCGTGTCGTCTGTTTGTGGTCATTCGCATACTCGCTCTGTGAAAGATGTGTCGCCAGCGCAGATGTCACCGTATTAATATCTGCTCTGTTCCCGTGCTATCGCTTAGCGCAGAGATTAGTGGTCGTGTGCCACCCGTCCACCAATAGAATTGTGCTGACGGCGAAGGCGGCAACGTTCGTTCTGTTCTGCGGTCAACAGGACAGAAGCCGTAGACATGATTGTACGTACGGCGCTGGACGTCGCAGATAAGGGGGATGCGCTGGGGCCTACTGGAGCATGGCCAAGGGCGGCGATTGTTGGAGCATCTGGAGCGCGCCGTCGGTGAGTTTTCGTATAAAATTCAAGGGCGAGTTCGTTGGGAGCATTCGACGCAGCTCTCTCCCCGCGTTCTGCATTTTATCGAGGATAGCTGGTGTTTTGCCGGCGGGGAGGATGAGCTGGGCGATCGGGGCTCGAGCGCGGAGTCGCGGCAGAACGGGCCGCTCGATCAATTCAGGGCCAGACGCCCGCCCGTCGCAGGGGAAGCTTGCGGTTAGACGCCCGGAGCTCGCCTCGGGCTATGACGCTCTTTTCGATCTTTGCGATCGCCCTCGTCGATGCTGCTCACGGGGCAGCCATGGCTCGGTGTCCTCTACACCTGTCCTGGTTCTCGCTCGCTGCCCTGCGCCAGCCCGCTCTCTCTCCTGCGCCAGCGCCTATTCCGCCGCTCGCCGCTCGCTCGACACTCAATTCACGTCGATCGCACACTCGTCTCGCGGTCCTCGTCTGCGCTCCCCCACCTCCAGCCGCTCGCCCCTCCCAGATGCCCTGTGTCCCTCCCCTCCCTCGTCCCCCTCGCCCGTCCCGTCATCTCGTCTGGCGGGTGCGACAAGTACTTAGATAGTGCGCCAATCGAACTTCATGTGTGTTCTCACCTCCGCCCTGCCACAGCTCCGCTCACAGCAGCGCATTTACAGCCCTAGAAACGCGTATTTTGCACCTTCCCGCCGGGCGAGTGCACAAATCCGGCGTGTAGCTCGCCCAAATGGCGTGTATGCGTCGCCCCGACACGCCCCTGTAACCGTTCGCGGTATGGAGCCATGGTCATGCGCCAAATACGAATGCGGCAGCCTGTGCACACACGCCCCGCGCCTGCGCCCGTCTTAGTGTGCACCTCCCGCAAGCTCGGAGTTCGTTAATAATTGTATCTTGATGGCGTCTCCACATCCGCGAAGCCTCCCCGCGCATCCCCCGCCCTGCACGTCGTCCAAGTGCCGGCGCCT